GGTATGAAAGGTGTACCCCTTGGAAATTATAGGAACATGGAATATGGTCATAGGCTTATGGAGCTGGGTAAAAAATTACTAAATGCATCAAAAAAATAAGAAAATGACTGGATGATTTTTATCTAACATAATTTATGTCATACAATTCGGTCATTCAAATATACTTTAGTATAATTGTGAATCCTACAATAAAATTATAAAAATTACTACTTGGTTATAACATAAAAAAAATACTTTAAAAATAAAGTCTAAAGGAAAATGTCAGATTCAGGGCATGGGCAGTTTTAAATTCTACTTAGGATGATTCCTAGGCTGTAGAGTAAGTTTATTGACTAGATATCAATGAAACTATACATAGACAAGGACCATTACATCTTTAGGCTCATTTTACCTCATAAAGTGCAAACTGAAATTGTTTTGTTAAGTTTTGTTCACTCGGCAGGTGGAAGCCTTGCTCCTATGGTCTCTTTGTAAAAATAGGCTTAACATAATATGGAAGGCACAATTTTCTTTGAAACACGTAGCTACTAAAGTATAAATCTAAAGCTTTGTCATATTCCCGAGTTTCATAATACATCACACCTAGAATGTTTAAAAGACTTAGCCACATCAAACTGAGTAGTTCCTAACGTTTTTTTTGCGAATTTCCAGAGCTTTTTCGTGAAGCTCTATAGCTTTGTCGTAGTTTCCAATTTTATTAAACACATTACCAAGATTGTTTAAAGATCGAGCGACACTAACATGATTTGGACCTAACGATTGTTTTCGAATTTCCAGAGCTTTTTCGTGAAACTCTATAGCTTTGTCGTAATTTCCAGTTTTATAAAACAGCAAACCAAGATTGTTTAAAGACACAGCGACACAACATGATTTGGACCTAACGATTGTTTTTTCATTTCCAGAGCTTTTCGTAAAACTCTATAGCTTTGTCGTAGTTTCCAGTATTATAATACACACTACCATGATTGTTTAAAGACTGAGCGACATCAACATGATTTGGACCTAACGATTGTTTTCGAATTTCCAGAGCTTTTCGTAAAACTCTATAGCTTTGTCGTAGTTTCCAATATTATTATACACATTACCAAGACTGTTTAAAGACCAAGCAACATCAACATGATTTGGACCTAACGATTGTTTTCGAATTTCCAGAGCTTTTGAAAACTCTATAGCTTTGTCGTAGTTTCCAGTTGTATGTAACACCACACAAAGATTGTTTAATGACCTAGCGACATCAACATGATTTGGACCTAACGATTGTTTTCGAATTTCCAGAGCTTTTCGTGAAACTCTATAGCTTTGTCGTAGTTTCCAGTTTTATAAAACACAAACCAAGATTGTTTAAAGACATAGCGACATCAACATGATTTGGACCTAACGATTGTTTTGAATTTCCAGAGCTTTTTCGTGAAACTCTATAGCTTTGTCGTAGTTTCCAGTCTTTACAAACACCAAACCAAGATTGTTTAATGACCCAGCGACATCAACATGATTTGGACCTAACGATTGTTTTTTAATTTCCAGAGCTTTTTTGTAAAACTCTATAGCTTTGTCGTAGTTTCCAGTCTTTACATACACCGTACCAAGATTGTCTAAAGACGCAGCGACATCAACATGATTTGGACCTAACGATTGTTTTGAATTTCCAGAGCTTTTCTAAAACTCTATAGCTTTGTCGTAGTTTTCAGTTTTATTTAACACCGCACCAAGATTGTTTAATGACGTAGCGACATCAACATGATTTGGACCTAACGATTGTTTTCGAATTTCCAGAGCTTTTTGTAAAACTCTATAGCTTTGTCGTAGTTTCCAGTATTTACAAACACCGTACCAAGATTGTTTAAAGACGCAGCGACATCAACATGATTTGGACCTAACGATTGTTTTTGAATTTTTAGAGCTTTTTCTAAAAACTCTATAGCTTTGTCGTAGTTTTCAGTTTTATGTAACACCGCACCAAGATTGTTTAAAGACGCAGCGACATCAACATGATTTGGACCTAACGATTGTTTTCGAATTTCCAGAGCTTTTTTGTAAAACTCTATAGCTTTGTCGTAGTTTCCAGTTTTACAAACACCGTACCAAGATTGTTGAAAGACGCAGCGACATCAACATGATTTGGACCTAACGATTGTTTTGAATTTCCAGAGCTTTTCTAAAACTCTATAGCTTTGTCGTAGTTTTCAGTTTTATGTAACACCGCACCAAGATTGTTTAAAGACGCAGCGACATCAACATGATTTGGACCTAACGATTGTTTTTGAATTTCCAGAGCTTTTTCGTGAACCTCTAGAGCTTTGTCGTAGTTTCCAGTTTTATCAAACACCAAACCAAGATTGTTTAAAGACGCAGCGACATCAACATGATTTGGACCTAACGATTGTTTTCGAATTTCCAGAGCTTTTTCATTAAACTCTATAGCTTTGTCGTAGTTTCCAGTTTTATCAAACACCATTCCAAGATTGTTTAAAGACGCAGCGACATCAACATGATTTGGACCTAACGATTGTTTTGAATTTCCAGAGCTTTTTGTAAAACTCTATAGCTTTGTCGTAGTTTCCAGTATTATTATACACACTACCAAGATTGTTTAAAGACCAAGCAACATCAACATGATTTGGACCTAACGATTGTTTTCGAATTTCCAGAGCTTTTTGAAAACTCTATAGCTTTGTCGTAGTTTGCAGTTTTATGTAACACCACACCAAGATTGCTTAAAGAGATAGCGACATCAACATGATTTGGACGTAACGATTGTTTTGAATTTCCAGAGCTTTTCGTGAAACTCTATAGCTTTGTCGTAGTTTCCAGTTTTATGTAACACCATACCAAGATTGTTTAAAGACCCAGCGACATCAACATGATTTGGACCTAACGATTGTTTTCGAATTTCCAGAGCTTTTCGTGAACCTCTATAGCTTTGTCGTAGTTTCCAGTTTTATCAAACACCAAACCAAGATTGTTTAAAGACGCAGCGACATCAACATGATTTGGACCTAACGATTGTTTTCGAATTTCCAGAGCTTTTCATTAAACTCTATAGCTTTGTCGTAGTTTCCAGTTTTATCAAACACCATTCCAAGATTGTTTAAAGACGAAGCGACATCAACATGATTTGGACCTAACGATTTTTTTTGAATTTCCAGAGCTTTTCGTAAAACTCTATAGCTTTGTCGTAGTTTCCAGTTTCATCAAACACCATTCCAAGATTGTTTAAAGACGCAGCGACATCAACATGATTTGGACCTAAAGATTGTTTTCAATTTCCAGAGCTTTTTCGTAAAACTCTATAGCTTTGTCGTAGTTTCCAGTTTTATGAAACACCATTCCAAGATTGTTTAAAGACTGAGCGACATCAACATGATTTGGACCTAACGATTGTTTTCGAATTTCAGTTGCTTTTTCGAAAAACACTATAGCTTTGTCGTAGTTTCCAGTTTTAAAAAACAGAATACCAAGATTGTTTAAAGACGCAGCGACATCAACGTGATTTGGACCTAACGATTGTTTTTGAATTTCCAGAGCTTTTTCATGATGATTTTTAGCTTTGCTATATTTCCCGGTGTCTTGGTATAAAACACCGAGGATATTAAAATACCAAGCTTTGTCATAACTAGATTCTTCTGATTTAAATTTATCCAATAGTTCAAGAGCAAGATCGTATTTTCCAAAATGTCTTAATCTGTCAACAAAATATTGGAAAACTTGTAAAGTGTTCATGTTGATTTTTGACTTGTTGGTCTTTAATAATTGAACAATTTTTTCAAGATGTGGCATTAATTTTATTTCGTCGTCTCTCCCTTTAAACATGTAAAGTGCTTTAGATATTTGATCAACGTTAGTTTCCATTTCATGTTCTTCATTTGAATGTTCAGATTGATAAACAATTGCTTTGTGAACAATGCGATGTAGACTAATGTCATTATTTTCTGAATGCAAGAACAATGAGCATTCGTCTAAACAAAGACATATATCTTCCTCAGCTTGTTTGGGATCACTTTTTTGAACATAATAAACCATAATTTCTCGTGGTAAAGGATCAAATGATATCATAGAAAAAAGCTAATAGCCAGTGCCAATATTGAGGATTCTTCTGCACTTTGTTTGACAGCTAAAAGTGAAGCTTGTAACATACTTCTAGGATATACCGAGTTAAATTTAACAAAAATGGCGTCCATGTTTTCTTCTTCTTCTGAAGATATTTTCTTTAAATATTGTCTCCAAGTAAATGAGCAGTTTTCTTTGTTTACAAGACTGACATAATAACCAGTAGCAGCCAAAGCCAGCGGTTGACGATCTAATGCGTGCGATACTTCATTCAACAATTGATCATCAGTATTTTCATCTTTAGTGTAAGAATTCAACAATTGACAACATTCTCTGTCATTCATTCCACTGCTGATAGAAATATGTTTGCTGGACAATTCATCGTGAGGTACGGCATCTGTATTCTGAACAGTTATTATTAGTTGTCCATTTTTCCACATGTGATCACCTACTTGTGGTAGTAACGAAGAAATTTCGCTCAGTTGCACAACGTTGTCGACAATAATCAACCAATTTTGCCAGAATTTCAATCGAGCAGACACTAACGAGCGAAGGTTCTTGATTTTCTCTTTGGCGGACGAATTTTCATCTTTAAATTTTTCAACCATATACTTGTTACAGTTTAAGCGGTCTCCAAGGTCACAGTAAGATTTTAAAAGAGATTCCACATTCTTCCCATCGAGAGTCATTACAAACGAAGTTTTATTTTTCCAATCACACGATATTTTTTCACAAACCTGTCTCGCCAGTTGAGATTTACCACTGCCAGGATTACCAGTGATTCAGAAATATGTCAGTTCGTTATTGTTATCATTCCTTAATTTTTCAAGATCGTTTATGATTTTATCTTGTAATTCAGTGCGTTCAACAAAAAAATGATTGGGTTTTGAAGGAAGCACTTGGAACGAATTAAAACTGTTACGATGATTTTTTATTTTATTGATTTCATCGAGGGAAAATTTCAAATCTTGAAATGATTTTTCAATGATATTGACTATATCATCAAAATCATCATCTGAGTATTCGCTTTCATACCAATGTGCTTCTTTGTTTCTTTCAACACGAAGTGCATCAACAGCATCCTTTGTTTTTTTATCAAGATGTCCGCTAATCGATTTTGAATAAAGTATAGCATCGAATAATGTTGTGCAGTCCCATTTACTTGTGTCTCCCTCCTGATATTTTAATTGTAGGTTTTTATCCAACCTTCTACCCGATTCTAAAGTGCAAAATATTTTGCCACTTTTTTTGGTATCATCCCATTCTCCATGTGTTGATGTGTAACGAGAGTTCCATTCTTTGATGAAAAATTGAGCAAGTTCCGTTTGTACCACATTAATTACTCTTCTGATGTAAAAAAGATTTCTGCTTTCTCTTGATTCCATCTAAAAAAGAATATGATGTATAAACAAGACAGTTAAAATCATCAATTTTGAAAGTTCGACCTACAACATGTATCACTCTTCGTTAAAGTTGAGGATTTACATGATGAAATCAAACTTATTTATTCGTTTATAAATTCAACTTCACCAAAAGCATGCTATTAATACAAATTTAGACATAGACAACTACTAAATGGCAGAGATAATGCTACAGCTTTTGCCAATTACAGCAGCTTTTCAACAAAACATTAAAAGCAACATGATATTCCACTGGATAGTACATGTGACGTGTTACAAGACAGACATTGCGAGTGTTAGATTTTTATGTCTTTGGATCGTCGATGTCAAATATCGTTTGTAATGGCGAAAATCCAAGTTAGAAATGCTAGAGATACCTCTGTACTTGACGGTATTTCTATACATCAGTTGATTGTTACTTGACACGTTAATTCACACTTTATCTTACATACCTTAACTGACATGCGTGCCATTCAAAATTAGACTATTTAATTTAACGTGTTTTGTAGGAATTGAAACAGCAAAGAAAAAGCGCCCATCTCAAAATACTAGCATGCCTAATATGTCTGGTAAATGTTGATCAAAGTGGACTTAGTAAAGAAAAAAGCGGTATGATTTAAAAAGTGAGTTCGTTCGGCAAAAAGTGAAGAGGGGACTTGTTTCTAGAGATAATTTACAATATTAAAATAACTTTGTCTTGAATTGACAAGGTGCTACGAATTTATTTTACATATCCTTGTTACTAGCACATGTTGGAAAATAAACCATCATAATAATTCAGGTCGCGTGACGTGAAGTAAAATTGATTTCTGTTAATCAATGAGATAATAGGCCAGGACTTGTTAAGAAAACTTTCATTTTTTTTAAGGGTAATCTAGTTGACTGTCGTAGCGAACTGTGATACATTATGTTTTTTAAATGTACGACACTTCGCGTTGTAGATTCATACCGGGGAGGCAGGTAACTTGCGAAACACAAAATCTTTTTTGCCTCTACGAATTCGACATAAATTTTGAAAGCAAAACATGCAAAGATGCAAAACGTTAAAGGAATGTTACAGAATAATGCAGATCTAATACTAAATACCAAAAAAGATGAAAAGACTGACGCTGCTCATTGATCATTTAGGGTAAAAGGAGAAAAAAGGAGTACAGCAAAAACAAAACTGAACACCAGCATTCTTATAAATAAATATGTCAGTAATGAGGATATTTTGCATATTATTGTCTACAAAAAAAAGAACAATTTAATCTGTTATTTCCGCTACGAAGGAAAAAAGTCAGCACATTGTGCCATAAAAGATTATCAAGAAAATATTGATTTGGTGTCATTTATCACAAATAAAAAAGAATAGATTTATTTGGATAATTGATTCTGGTGCCACTTAGCATATGACGTTTGAAAATGACTATTTATCGGACTATGAAGAGTTGAGAAAGCCAACGAAAGTAATTAATGGAGATGAACGTTTAATATTGATTTATGGGAAAGGAACTTATCTCGTGGCCATTGATTTATATAAGTCACATTAACGTATCGTAATCTGGGGCAATGTGCAACATTTCCCATTGAAAATGAAATATGTGAGCCGTTAAACGAAGCTTAAGCTTAAAAGTCAGTCAATGGCTTCTTCGTGATGTATTTTATGTAAGAAAAGTAAAATTTAACACATTTTTTTGAAACGGAGAATTCATGGCGGCCGTCAAATGAAGACACTTTGCAAGCAAATTTTAATTGGTTCGATAAAGTTCTGTTTGGTTAACAGGTATTTTGAATAATTTTGTTTAATATAGAGGGGGATCAGTTGCGTGCTAAGAACACTCCAGGGGGGCAGTCAGCTACTACTGAAAATGAGCCCCAAATATATACACTTTAAAAAGGGGGCCAAAGCCTGAGCCGAGAACCTAAGGTGGGAGTCGTGTTTGAGGAATCCGGGGGTAAATGCTCCCAGGGAAAATTCTTTATTAAGAAGCTCTAAAATGCCATTTCGTGGACTTTAAGGAGTGAAATCATTCTAACCCTATAAGGCTAAATGCGTTTCTCCAATACAATTTGAAAATTTGACGCACTTATTCATTACAGCGCCTCCTAAAAATCCACATCTGAGGGAGCCACGGATCCAGCCCCCCCCGTATAGCACGTCACTGAGAGGATGTTGTTGATTTAGCGTGGATGTTGTTGCTTGAACTGAATTATCGTTTTATTAAAAAATGTCTTTGACAACATTTATATTTAAGATTTTAAATACAGTACTACCTTGGGGAAAATGAGACTGTCGCCATATTTAGTAATGATCATAAGATACTGTGTGTCTAGCGTACCTTAATGTGTGTTTTTTTCGTGTATGTTGTAAATTTGAAGGGACTATAAGCCAATGAAAAATATTTCCTCAAAAAGGTTTGATTCTTTGTTTCAAAATTGACTGCACCACAATGGAATATGTATTTGAAATCTAATTGTCGGAACTTATGTAAATAACTAATTGTTAATTGTTACTAGGAATTTATGGAAGAACGGAAATAGGAACTTATGTTAATACTTTATTAGTTGTGACACGTTAAAAGTCAAGGTTCTTTCATCGCTGGCTGTGAATGTAAAAGCATGACATGTTTAAGATTATCTGTGATGTGGAATAGTTATATTGAGTAAAATTGAGAATTGTGTGTCGACTGCGCATACAGTAGGATAGTATACAGTCCCAAAAACAAATCGGCAGACGTATAACTTCTTTGTGCTAACGTGCAAAGGAGAAAATTGCTACACGTGGCTCTTCAAGTCGGAGATATTTTAGTTGGAGATCTATTTGGAAATTCAAGTTTGTTAGTCCAATAGCAGAGTGGATGAATTAATGAGAAAGTAACGAGTGCGCGCAGGACATAGAAGATCGGCGAGGAAAATTGCTAGTAAATTAAAAGAGAAAATACGAGAAACGGACGGCAAAATCGATAGAAACGAGCTGAGACAGCTACAAGATGGATTGAACGACAAAATCGAAACATTAAAAATCCTTGATGACGCGATTATCGATATGCTGAGCAAAAGTAATGAGGAAAATGAGGAAGACGAATTGGGAAAAAAAATTGAAGTTGCGGGCGAGATACGTGCAGAACTCAAGCAAGCAATTATGGATGTGAGCGACATCGTCAAGGAGTCTAATGTGCCAGTTGAAACGGCAACAACGGCATTAAATGGCCCGCTGAACAGCAGTTTGAAGAGTGAGACGCACAGAGTTATAAGAGCAAAACTCCCAAAGTTCGAAGTAAAGAAATTTTGCGGAGGGCTGCAAGAATGGAAAGAGTTTTTGGATTCGTTTGATAGTACAGTGAATAATAATGACGGATTGGCTGACGTAGACAAGTTTGCATATTTAAGGATTCATTACTCGAACCTGCAAGATCGACAATATCGGGATTTCCCCTAACTTCAGCGAACTATCACGAAGCTGTAGGATTGTTAAAACGAAGATAGGGGAAAAAGAACGTGATCAAGAAAGCGCATATCCAGGATTTATACGACGGTCATACGACACCTGCAAGACAAGCTACCGGGGTTTAAAGGCCTTAGGAGTGGACGAAGCCGTTTATTCTTCAATTCTAATACCGGAAGTCAATGGGAAGTAGCCGGACGCTTTTCCATTGACAATAACAAGAGATTCGATTTCACGGAAATGGTCTATGAAAGATGCGTTGAACGCATTTCTTAAAAAGTTAGAGTTTCGAGAAGTTCACACATTGATCGGTGAGAAAACCAAAAGACAGGATGGGGAGAAACAATGAGAAAAGTCGCGACAAAGACATATGGGGTCTGCATCAACACTGCATGCAAAGCACAAGAGTTGCAACGAGGTGTCAACGAACGGTAAAGCGAAAAGAAAATGCGTTTATTATCTCGGGGAACACAATCCTGAGGAATGTAAGAAAACTACCAAGGTAACTGAGAGAAAACAACTCATTCGTAAGTACGGAAGATGTTTTATTTGCTTGAAGAAAGGACATGTCAGTAAGAATTGTAATAGTAATGATAAATGCAATGCATGTGGGAAGGCACACCAAAGGTCAATTGTGAAGCCAATGGGACTCTTACAGGTCATATTCAAACCAACCATTCTTTTCTGGGATCTCATTGTGGGATAGCATTACAGACAGCTCAGGCTTTTATTATAGGAGATAAGGGACGTGTTAGGGTCAGAGTGTTGTTTGATTCAAGAAGTCACAAGTCATTTGTGAATAGAAAGATTATACAGGGAGCAGGTATTCAGGCTAGTAGAAAATAATGGATAGAAATCAAGCCTTTTTCTCAAGAGAAGGCTAAAGGTAAGTCGCGAGAGTTGTCAGTTACAAAGGGAGAGAGTGTAAGCATCGAGGCATATAGAGTAGACTGTATATCTCAAATTAGGAATGAACATGTAAAGTAAAGAAAGATGGATTACTCACATTTAAAGGGTCTGTGGTTTTCAGATGTTTGCAAGGATAAGGAAGTTTTAGATATTGAAGTTTTGATTGGAGCAGATTATAATTGGTGGTTTCAGGAAGGCAATGTTGTTTGGGGGCAGGCAGATGAACCAGTTTCTGTGTCTGCTAAGTTAGGTTGGGTGTTGTCCAGCCTCGTGAAAGCGAGAATTGATTTGGATAACATGCACACTCAAGTAAACCTCATTGCGCATAAAAGTTCAGGAAGTTTAAGTTTAGATAAGAATTTCAACCGTATGTGGGATTTTGAAACTTTAGGAATAGCAGATGAATATGACGTTCATAAATCTTTAAGGGATTCTATTATGTTTAATGGTAACTAATACAGGGCCATATTGCCTTGGAAAGAAGGACATAGTTTAGATTACACAAATTACAGCATAAGCTTAAGAAGATTAAAGGTCAGTTAGTACGGCTGAAAAGGTAACCAGAAATTTTAGAAGAGTATGATAAGACAATCATAGATCAATTGAGGAAGGGTATTATAGAACCAGTGATAGAACTGGAGCAAGCTAATAAAATACATTATTTATCGCATCATGCAGTTATTCGCAGGGAAGGAAAACAACTAAGGTAAGAGTTGTTTATAATGCATCGTGTAAAGAGTCACCCAAGGCTTCCTCGCTCAATGACTTCTTGCATGTGGGACCCAAATCAGCACCATTGCTCTTTCATGTTTTGATAAAGTTTAGAGAGAAGAGAGTCGCTTTAGTGGCAGATATTGAAAACGCATTTTTGAATATAGAAGTTGATAGTTTGGACAGGGACTGCCTAAGATTTTTATGGATTGATGACATAAACATCGAGAGAGTGAAACCTGTAGAATACCGATTTTGTAGAGTAGTGTTTGGTGTTAACTGCTCTCCATTTTTGTTGAAGGTAACTCTGCAGTATCATTTAGACTTATTCATAGAGATAGACAAGGAATTTGTTAAAAAACTCAGAGATAGCTTTCATGTTGATGATCTAGTTTCAGGTGAACAATCCAAGAAAAAAGTAATAAGGTTGTATGAGTCAGTAAGTGAGCGATTGGCTGCGGGAAGATTAAGGCTTATGAAATGGCGATGAGAATGTTTTGAAAGAAATAGAAACAAGAGAAAGAAGAATTTTAGAGGAAAGAAGGGCAGAATTTAGTAATTCGAAGTGGTTGATTAGAAAATTTATGCCAAAGCATCAGTTGGGGAAAATAGTATCAGTGGAAGTTTTGAGAAAGTACTAGGATTGGGATGGGAGTGAACAAGTCCAATCACTTTGTATTCAGCCTCTGGAAATTGGCTGAAAGAGCAAAGACAATCATCCCAAGTAAACAAAATATACTAAGTATACTTGCAGGATTATTCGATCCCTTAGTTATTATAAGTCCAGTTGTAGTTTGTGCTAAGTTATTGTTTCAGGAGCTGTGTATTGAGAAATCTGAATGAGATAATGAGCTGGAAGGTGACAAGAAAAACGTTGGGAGAGATGGATAGTAGATTTAGAGAGAGTCAGGGATTTAGTTGTGGCGAGATGTGTGAATGGTAATTTACTTGGTAAGGTAAAGTGTTACTTGCATGGGTACGCAGATGCCAGCCAAAAGGCATACTGTGCGGTCGTATATTTTGTGACAGAGATAAACGGTGCCTACCACGTAGAGTTGCTTACGTCAAAAACAAGGATAAAGCCAATAAAGTTGCAGACAATTCCCGGACTACAAGTGATGCCAGCTGGAATATTAGCACAGTTAATGGACACAGTGAAGTTGGCCATAGAAGGTTACGTTCAATTTAATGGTACATACTGTTTGTTGGACAGTATGACTGCATTGTGCTGGATGGGTAATAGGGGAGAATGGAAACAGTTTGTGCGCCAAAGAGTTAACGAGATTTTAAGATTGAGCAGGAAGGGTAATTGGAAACACTGTCCTGGTGTAGATAACCCTGCGGACTTAGGTTCATGGGGATTTACGGCATTACAATTCAAGGAAAGTAAACTTTTGTGGAAGTCACTGAAGTGGTTGTCAGGTCCCCAGTGTGATTGGCCAATGCCAAAAGAGGTTAAAACTTCAGAAGAAAGTCTTGGGGAAGCCGGAAGACAGTATTGGCTAACACACAAGTGGTTGATAAAGATTGTGTGATAAAATTTGCCAAATTTAGTCAAATTAAAGTTCGCATCGCATTATTTTCCTGCTGTGTTACAAGAACAATTTGTCTTGATTTTGTTGATAGTTTAAGTGCACGTTGTTTTTTGATTGTATGCGAAGATTTACTGCTAAATTGGGAGCAGCCTCGCTAATTGTTTCGGACAAAGCCAAAACATTTAAAGCAACTGAGAAAGCATTGAAGGGGATTTATGGAATTAAGGAGGTAAAATCATGATTGGAAGACAATCAGTTGATATGGAACTTTAATTTGGCGAGGACAACCTGGTTGGGTGGATTTTTTGAAAGAATGGTAGCATTGGTGAAAGGTTGTCTGAGGAAGGTGTTGGGCAACGCTAAATTAAACAAGGAAGAACAGTTAACTATATTAGTTGAGGTACAAGGTACGTTAAACTCTTGACTATTGACTATGTATATGAAGATGAAGTGAATGTAGATGTACTGACTCCTGCGCATCTTATGTTTGGAAGAAGATAAACATCTATTCCAGACGAAAGAACTCAGCATACTATTAACGACGTATTTAGCGAAATTGAGAAAGCATTTTTGGTCCAGGTGAAGGAAGGAATGCTTAACAAGTTTAAGGTAGTGTCATAAGAATGGAAAAGTTAAGGGTAGTTTGTGTCCGAAAGTAGGTAATGTGGTTCTTGTGTTTGAGAAAAGTTTGAAAAGAGGATTTTGGAAAATAGCAAGAATCGAGAGATTGATCAAGGGAAAAGATAATATAGTTAGAGGAGCGGAAGTTAAAGTTGTTAGCAAGGGAAAGCCACTGCACATAAGAAGGCCTCTTCAGAAACTGTATCCCCTAAAGATGGATGCAAAGGTACGTAAAGAAAATTCAGCGTCTTACATGTAGAAAATACAATCATGCTATTCTTCCTCCCCATACTTTTGAACAGGTTTCACAGTTTTTACCTATTATGCAGCTAATGGTCAATAGTTAAAAAGTTTGTATATAGACTTTGATATGATTTCTCATGCATGTTTATTCATACTTTATCTAGATTATTCTTTAGCTAATTTTTTAGGTCGGCTAATGTAGATATAAATCTCGCTTTATTTTTGTAAAATTACCTTTGTTTTAGAAGTAAGACTTCATATCTGTCGATCTCGTCGTCCAAATTAAGCTTGCTTTACTTCTTTACATGTCACATACCTAACAAAAGATGAGAGATTTAATATAAAGAACGAAGTTGAAGAGTAACTCAGGATCTCCTTCAATTTTATAAAACATTAATGACATCTCTGTAGAACATTTAAGTTCTATAGCTACGTGTACATCACTGACTAAGAACAATTGTTATTGAAATAAAAATACATAAATAAGAATATCATACAGAGTACATTATAACATCGAAATGAGTCAAATTCCAAAGGACTACTTTAAGTAATATAAAGTTTAACAAGTTTAAATTCAGGAATAAAAGATCACCTTTCTAAAATAGGATTTGAATGTGAATGATTAAGACACAATTTTTTAAAACTTTAAATCGATTTTTCACTTAGCTAATCATACATTCCATACATGTATATTATTGCAAAGTCAGTTCATATTATATAAAGACCTTTGTTATTGAATAACCCATTGTAAATTATCAATACATTTGAATTATCAACTGCGTGCAATTGTAAGTACTTATCATCAATAAAAAAAACAATACATATAACTTTACAGGATGCAATGAAAGTAAACGTTAACACTGTTAAACTAACATATGATCAAAAGTATAGTTTTGAAAGCTCTGTGTTAAAAAATAGATTTTAAAAATCAACGTTTTTAAAAAATAGATTCGGTCGATAGATTCGTGTAAATACATTCTTCCTGTGTTTAACTTTTGCTTATTTTTTAAATTTTCTTATTTCTAAAAGAAAAGGTTTGTTGTATACAACTATGAACATTTTGCTAGACACACAGAGATTAGTCAAAAGTGTCGTCAGCAAAGAAGGGAGGTGATGCATGGTTGGACATGTGCCCCAACCCCCACCCCCCCTATATAATTTTTTACAAATCTCCCTTTTTTCCATAGACAATTATAGTTTTTAAAGAAAAATTCAGCGTCCTACTTGTAAAAAATGTTCTCATGTTTATCTGCCCCCATACTTTGAACAGGTTTTACTGTCGTTTACCATGCAGCTTATTGTCAATAGTTAGAAAGTTGGTGTATCAAATTAAATATGATTTCTCATGCATGTTTAGCCATACTTTATCGAGATGCTGCTTTAGTTAATTTGTTATGTAAAGTTAGTAATATAGTTTCATAATCTCGCTTTACTTTCGACAAATTACCCACGTTTTAGAAATAAGACTTCATACATGACGACCGTGTAGACATAATTATGTTTGCTTTAGTTCTTTACATGTCAAATACCTTACAAATATGAGAGATTTAATGTAAAGAACGCAACCACATACATATCAGTTTAAGAATGAAGATGAAGAGTGAGTATGGATCTCTTTCAACAAACAGTGTTATAAAACGTTAATGACGTCTATGTGGAACATTCTAGTTCTATAACTAAGTATACATCACTGACTAAAAACAATTGTTATAGAAATAAAAATGCATATATAAGAACCTCATGCAGTGTACATAATGACATTGACATTATTTAAATTCCAAAGGACTACTGCTAAGTTTTATAAAGTTTCATAATTTTTAACTCAGGAATAGAGAATCGTCTATCTAAGACAGGATTTGAATGCCAATGATTGATGCACGATTTTCGCAAGTGTGAATGGATTTTTTTCCTTCATTAATCAAAAATTCCATACATGTATATTCTTGCGTAAGTCAGTTCTTATTTTTAAAGACCTTTGTTATTAAATAAACCGTTGTAACTTATGAAACATGGAAAACATCAATTGCACGCAATTATAATTACTTATGATCATTAAAGACACTGTGGATGCAACAACAAAGGTTGCAATGAAAGTAAACCCTAAAATTAATAAAACATGATGAAAAGTATAAATTTAAAAGCTCACTGTGTTGCATTAATCAACATTTCCCAAAAATAGATTCGGTTGCGTACTTTTTCTGTGTCAATACATTCTTCCTGTGTTCAACATTTGCTTATTTTACAAATGTTCTTACTTTTAAAATGAACGGTTTGCTTATTACAATTAACATCATTTTGTTAGACACACAGTGATTAGTCAAAAATGGCGTCGGCAAAAAATGGAGGTGATGCATGATTGGACATACCATCCCCCCCTACATAAATTTTAACATAATCCCATTTTTTCCACAGACAAATATGCTATTTCAATATCCCATTCCTTTGAAAAGGTTTTGCTTTCCTTTACCATGCAGCTTATTGTGAACAATTAGAAAGTTGGTATATGAATTTAGATATGATTTCTCATGCATATTTAGTCATACTTTATCGAGATGCTGCTTTAGCTAATTTGTTATGTAAAGTTAGTAATATAATTTCATAATCTCGCTTTACTTTCGACAAATTACCTACGTTTTAGAAATAAGACTTCATACATGACGACCGTGTAGACATAATTATGTTTGCTTTAGTTCTTTACATGTCACATACCTTACAAATATGAGAGATTTAATATAAAGAACGCGACCACATGCATATCAATTTAAAAATGATGATCATATTTCATACCTTTTTGTTAAATCAATCTTTTATCCATGTAAGTTTTGTTACATAAACACATTTAAATAGTGAACGAAGATAAAGAGTGAGTCAGGATCTCCTTCAACAAACAGTGTTATAAAACTTTAATAACATCTATGTAGAACATTCTAGTTATATAACTAAGTATACATCACTGACTTAAAACAATTGTTATAGAAACAAAAATAGATAAATAAGAATCTCATGCAGAGTACATAATGACATTGACATTAGTCAAATTCCAAAGGACTACTGCTAAGCTTCATAAAGTTTCATAATTTTTACTTCAGGAATAGAGAATCATCTATCTAAGACAGGATTTGAATGCCAATGATTAATGCACGATTTTCTTAACTGTGAATGGTTTTTTTTCCCTTCATTAATCAAAAATTCCATACATCTATATTATTTCAAAAATCAGTTTATGTTATAAAAAGACCTTTGTTATTGAATAACCCATTGTAAATTATTAATACATTTTATATATCATTTGCACGCAATTGTAAATACTTATGATCAATAAAAAACACTTTACATATAACAGTAAAGGATGCAATTAAAGTAAAATAATTCAGGATCTACTTCAACAAACAGTATTATCAAACAATAATGACATCTATGTCACAGTATGGGGAATATGCAGTAGGTATAGTTCGTGTGCGACTGGCTGCCGTATTATTAATTAGATTACTGGCTGTCGTTAGGCATTTCATTATTCCTATTGGTCAAAAAAAGCAATTGACTGGCTGCCACTATGGTAATCACATGCGTAATAAGATATGTGTGGCACGAAAAATTTCAATAAAGTGGCTCTACTGTATGTTCTTCTATTTTGTGTCTATGTAGAACATCTCAGTTATATAACTATGTATACATCATTGACTAAAAACAATTGTTATAGAAATAAAAATACATAAATAAGAACCTCATGAAGAGTACATAATAACATTGAAATTAGTCAAATTCCAAAGGACTAGTGCTAAATGTAATAAAGTTTCAGAAGTTTTAACTCAGGAGTTGAGGATTAATTATCTAAGACAGGATTTGAAGGTTAATGCTTAAGACACGATTTTCGAAAATGCAAATGTTTTTTTCATTTCATTAATCAAAAATCCATGTAAATAATGATTATCATTAGGCATAACAAAAGTAGCAAAACTGCTTCTTTCAATAAGGACGATTGTTTCTTGGTGCTTCTGTCCGTCTTGGTCGTTCAATTATTGTCCAGTTAGTAGACCTACAGACATTGCTACTCTATAAAAAACACGTTATAAATGTTAGCATTAAAAATGAAGTAAACCTGAAATTAAATATATTGGATACAAAACTTCAATAGCTGATGTCCAAGCTTTGTCCTTTTCAATTTGATCCAGACGACTATGTCGGTGTCTTTATTCTTTATCACCACGCAGTTTTTATTTGTATATAGTTTAATTTTATTGTAACATTTTTATCTTGGAAATTCAACGAATCCTATTGGCAGCATTGCAATTTTCTTTATGAACATTGAATAAAACTAATAAAAAGTAGCGAATGAAAGCCAGCTATTTTCTCACAGGAAGTGACATCTTTCATTGACATTTTCTTAATTTGGGTGTTTTTTATGATTATGGTTCAAATTATCAAAATAGACCATTAGGATCCTTTTTTAAATATCTCATGCAGTTACTCATATAAATTAAATAACACTTATCTACTCAACTTACAAACCACAAGACATAGATCATGTTTTTCCTCTCGCCTGTTTTCCATCTTCGTAGATTATAGTCCAGTCACATTGATGTTAATGTTCACACGTACATATGCATTTATGCAATGTCCATTCAATATTTTTATACCAATCCATACACGAAGTAACTGACATCATTAACCAATAAAGTGGCTAATGATATTATGAATCGCCATTTTGATAGATTACTATATACGATGCACTCCTATGGTAACTTCAAGCGACGGAAAAGGGATCACTTCAATACCCCATTTATATCGTCAATCAAAGAATGCTTAGTGCAGAGTTGATCTTTCATTGTGAGATGACCACCTTCAGGTGGGCTCATATATAAATGAGGCCCATCATCATTATATGAACAAGCAACTGACATCAACAAAGAATCCAAAATAGAAATGAACATTTTTGGCCATAAATCATCATGACACATGAGTAATGACAAACTAGTAAGAGTAATTGAAGTGAATGGCACAGGTGGTAAATGGACTTTCACAACTCCGTCCACTTGGGATCTACAATATAAGCTAGAAAACATGAACACACATGCCCAAGATTTCATGATGAATATCTCTGCATATGATGTTAGTTTGCGTTTTTAAATTCTTAATCAGATTAATTGAGAATGAGCAAATTGTAATATGTTTTCTGTTCGACTATCCAAATGGTAGAACATTCACCAACATTGCACGAATAGCTTTAGTCGGTTAAGTTTGAAAGATGTAACAAGTTTCAAACGATCAAAGGTTAACATCGTTACAAAAGTATTTTACACTGAAAGCTTTCATATTACGAGGCCTACCATTAAGACTAGTTGATTATTCTATGCAACTCATACTTCAGTTATCCGTCAGTAAAAAGACAGCAACTCACCTTTCTTTCTAAAACGTTAAAGTGACTATTTTCCGTTGTTAACATTTGTTTAATTTACGTCATGACTGAAAGTATTATTGTGATTGGCTCTATAGGAGCTTTTTACATTTCACAAAGACAATAAGTAATCCTTCTATGTATTTGAAAACAATTCATTAGAATCTACAATTTTTTTTTGCGTTTTAATGTCGTTATGCAAAGCAAAGATACATGATGTTGTAGGTTAAGATTCATAAGACGATAAAGAATTTATAAACTAGACTTCAATTTTGTCCGAATATTCATTGAATCTTGCAGTCATATGTTGCTAAGTTAAGGTTAGGAGATAATTTAAGGTCGTTCTGTTTCCCTCGAGGTTCTACTACTAAAAATATAGTAGAGAGTCGTAGAAAAACGAGCAAAAAAACAATTACGGCTCTCATTCATTGCAAGTCTACACCTTAATCTATGAAAACTGCACTTCTATGCACTCAACCACATAGTACATTGGAGACAGATAGCAAATTTAGTGTATTTATATTCCTTACATATATTCAGTTGTAACTAATGTGACATTAAAGAAACAAACAAAAAATCAGTAGCATTAATAAAAACCATTGAGATTTTCACAAGAACAATAGAAATAAATCCAAAAACAAATTATCATTTATTGTCAGTTTAGTCACTTACATTTGTTTCCAGCCGTAGGATCTATTTTCATACATGATATCGAAACAAGTAGCTACGTGTGTAACACATTTCATAAGGGTTTTCCTCTTTCAAATTTCTTTTTGCTGCTGCCATCAACATTTAGGACGTGTTACTGATAGTATATATCAGTACATCGTGGCTTTCAAATGTTTAAATATGTGCGGTATGTCCTTGTTCCGTAGCATTCAGATGTTGGCGGTCTTGATTTTTTAAAAACAGGTTTAAATACATTTTTAATCAAATGAGACGTGTTTCGATAACTTATGATCGAGGAGAGTTGAAGGCAACAACTTTATTTAGCATGGCACAATCACAAATCGTTATACTTCTCGTCTATGTGTAAAGTTTTGTTCCATCTCATATGAACAACATCTGCCTTCCATGACGCCTTGTGGTTTATATGTGGCTTGAAGTGAATAGTATCTTTATAATTAGTGTTGAGCATGTCGTT